CACAGACTATAACCCTGAAACAAAACAGTGAAATTTCTATTAGTATAAAACGGGGAATAAGGACATTTGATCACATTTCAGTCCGTCATAAATGAAGCACTTGCCAAATTTTAAATATCATTTTCCTCTTCTATCACACCCAAGGTGAGCTATAGTGTCATTGACACTTTCATTGTCTTCCCTATCGCAAGGAATGCTACTAACAATAAGCTGTTTTGATCAGTTTGTAATAGGCAAATTGCATGGGATAAAATACACGTCAATTTTAATTGCTTTTTCCAGAAACACTTTAAGATTTATTTAATTTACTTTAGGATTATATATACTTTATAATAGTTTGAGCTGACAGTTATACCTATTATGTCAAATTCCTATTATCTGTGAAATAAGGATATTGCATGTAAGCGTGGGAAATTAGGTTAATAAATGTGGAAATTGAATTTTCAAAGCTGAGCTTGCAGCTATTGCATTGTTGAGTGGCATGTGGTTGCTGTTGGTTGAAACAGGTGCACACAAGCAGTGAAGAGTTATGTTGAAGATCAGTCTACAGATGAAATACTAGATGTTGGTGCAGATATGAGGATGATACTGCTGTGCTTCTCTCTTCTCAAGGTTCTGGATCATATCTGTTGTGGGGTGGTATGGGTTGGGGATTGTTGCTATTGGCATGTACAAGATCATTGGGACAGAACAAAGTCAGTCACATTGGTTGTGCCAGAGATGGTTGTGATAGAAGATTGTGAAATTATTATCCAGGAGTCTAGGAATAAACAAGTAGATATATGTAATTGAACAGTGATAGAAGTAAATGTGTGTAATTTGGGAGCTGAATGGGCACATGTGTGTATGTTTGGTTTAGTGCATATATGTGTAAAGATGGAGTGCAGAAGGGAAGGTGGGAATTAGAGTGTAAAAGTATGTGCTGGTGGGATTGGTGGGATCGAGTAAGGAAGAGTTGATGTGCGGTGGTAGGAGGGAAGTAGTAGAACTACATGTGATTGAGTAAAAGAGGAGTGGGTTGTTGTGAGAGAATCAAATGTAAATGTGTTGTATAGCCTAGGAGAGCATGTAGATATTATAAGGTAAACGAGATATAGATCACATATCGTAGCAGGAGTGTGTGTGTGGGTGTGTGTGTGTGTGTGTGCGTGCGTGCGTGCGTGCGTGCGTGCGTGCGTGTGCGTGTGGTTGGTGATATCTAAGTGAGCTGTGTAATACCCTAATCTATACTGACATGTGTGCAATATAAACATTCTTTTTGCAGAATATCATTAAGGATATGAAGCTAACCTGTTTAAGCAAAGAGAAGATACAAACAGCTCCATGCGCACCCATTGCATCTGGAGAGTATACAATGCAAAAAGAGGATGAGAAATTGAAAGACCTGCTGCAGCAAAGGAACAGTGATATAAGTATCCTTTGCATTTAAATAATTACGCATGTTTCTAAACTTTCTCGCAGCAGGTAGACTTAGGTCTAGGGTCCTTACTACTTTGGAGGTCACATTTACTTATTATATGTGCTTGAATACAGCTTGCACACGGACCTCCAATGACACATGTTATGGCGTGTATTTATCTTCTTTAACGAGTGTGTAGCAATTCTGACGGATTTGTTAAAAAATGCAAGGCATGGACCTGATGGTATGCAGGTGTTAACGTCAACGCAGCTATCAGAATGGACAAGGAGAAAAGTTGAAGTGAAAAGAGGCACCTCCGGTGATTCCCCACAGGACTCAGGACAATTAAGAGAAGCTTTCACAAGGTTCCGCAAAGAATATAAACATGAGGAGGAAATTGAAAGCAAGAAAATGCAGCTAAGGACCAAGTATGCAGAAGCTAAAGCATTGGGAGAACAGGTTAATCAGGCCAGAAACCTGATCAGTAAGTCACAAAACTGTGTTAGCTCCTTACTGTACATTGCTTTACCTAATTACCTAAAGCTATTTGGTCTATTTGGACTAATTTTCACAATAAATTTAATAATAATTACTTTTATAAATATTTATCAATCTACACCATATCACAACAATGTAATTATTAGAGATATTTGCAGTAAGTTATACTGGTCCAGCTAATCATTGTTAACAGATGATTGATTTATTGATCACATATTGTTAGATGACTTGAAATGTAAGCTACAAAAGTATCAGATGAGCAGAGCAATGCAGGGGTTCAACCGTGAAGCCAACTTGGACAGTGCAGAAACAGATGCCATGGAAACGTCATTGAGAGCTGAGATGCAGGCAGGGAAGTGCAGGTAAAGAATGAAGAAAATGTGAATGTGAATATATTGAAGTTATAATGTATATAAAGTATATAATCAGTAACATGGTTAGACGCAATATTAAGTGTCGTTTCTTAATTTTAACATTCATGATTATATTTATGATAGCGCATCATTATAATATGGTTCCTGTCGGCCCCATGCATGCTCTTGAGAAATATTCCTGCTATCACTCACTAGAGTTTGTACCAGTGATTTCAACTAGGCTTATGTCGAGATCCACCTCTGTAATTTCTTGGTAGATTTATCATTGCAAATTAAAAGGGTTCTATTAACCTTAATGTTTAACAGCTTGGAGGTAGCTGTGTATTGATGCCGATTCTGCGTTCAATTTCTATTAGGTACAAAGAAAAATTTCAGCAACTTAGAGGCTTGAAAGCAGAAATTGAACACTTGCACCACCTGTTGGAGAAATCTAGAGTTAAAATACAGCAAGAGTTCGAGACGTGGTGGAGCCAGCAGGGCAATGCGATGAAGGTTTGTATTGATGTTATAGCCGACTCCGACAGTGCATAATTTACTATTGCAAGATTTTCTATCACACTTAGTTATGCTGAGAGGGTCTATGTCCCCCAGGGTACTGCCGGAACGTCCGGTATACCGGAACATACCCTGGTGCTATCTAATATGCCGGACAGTACCTCGCCTACTCCACTAACGAGTCTAGGGAGTCGCTTACGCCTACTCCATAACCCTAACCCTAACCATATCAGATAGTTACCAGGGTACGTTCCGGCAGTACCCTGGGGGACATAGACCCTATGAGCCTTAGTTGTCTAATAATTTTTGCTTTATTGGCACAGATGCAAATATTAGCTTCCAATAATCGCATTGCAAAGATTGCTACATCTACTAGAGCTCCTGCTAGTCAGTCATGTATATAACATGTGCAATTTCTATCATTTTAATACACATGAATACCACCATTGAGTATAAATGATAGCATTTCTAGTTTACCAATAGATGGTGCAAAGCCAACAAAGTCCTTTTTGTTAGCTGCCGGTGATGAAATGAGAAAATGAGACTATAGTTCTAGAATTAAATTAGGTGGAGGATGTGGGGGGTAAATTAAGGCACAGTTTGAGGGGACAGGGAAATTGAGGTGATACATGAGGAGGAGAAGGAGAATAAGAAAAAGGAGAAGAAGATTAGTGGATGAGAGGGAGGAGGAGAAGAAGGTAGAGAAGGGGGGAGAAGATGCATGTGAATTTTACCAATTTCCCATCGTCATTGATGGTACTTCATCAATTCCGACTCCTTTTCATTCTGCTGCTTGCTCTACTCCTACTATCACTCTTCCCCGATTCTCCTCTGGTTGTGGACATGTTTGCGAGCTCGCGGGATATCAGTATAGCTAGCATAGCTTGTTTGAATTACTTGTAGGATGAGGCAGTCTCTCCACGGGTCGGATCTAGTTGGGTATCTCGTAATGAAGCTCAGAGCTGCCTGCGGGAGAAAACGCGCCGGGACTGTGAACAGACGACTGTTGCAGCGACCAGCACTGCCAGCCTTGACGCTGAAACTGTGAACTCGGCAGAAATCGAAGCTGCCCGGCCGCCTCATAGTGCAGTCAACATACCATTAACAGGTGATTCTCAGGCTGATGCAGACATCATCGCATTCTTCAAGGCAAGGCAACGACTTGTACAATGTACAAATATAGTTAAGAGATAGATCTGCAATGATGATGGTGCTTATTAGTATAGTTGTTGTTGGTGTTGTTGTTGGTGTTGTTGGTGTTGTTGTTGGTGTTGTTGTTGTTGTTGGTGTTGTTGGTGTTGTTGTTGGTGTTGTTGTTGTTGTTGTTGTTGTTTTAAACTTGTAAAGCTTGATAGTACTTAGGTATGAAATGTTAACATTGATTTTAGTATGTGGGATTAGATAATAATAGTACAGTTTCCACATGAAATAATTGAAACGTTGGGTATTTACATATTAATTTCAAGGAACCTTATGTGCTATTTATTGCCATTAGGCTACATTATCACGGTATGAGAGCCATTTAATAAGCGTAGCCAAAAGTAAATTTTTGGCATTACAGTACTTATATACAAAACAACTATATAATATATCATTATTATATTTTTTCAGCATTTTACAGTTGTGTAAAAAATATATTGATTGAGTAAATAAATCTTTGTATGAATTAGTAAAATAATAATTGTTTACATTATTTTCTCATAACATTAAATATTTTCAGGGGTGAATAAAAACAAGTTCGGGAATAGGTGATTGTGAATAAGAAAATTAAAACAATTTTGTTTTCTATACACTCCTGATATCGTCTACTATACGGTGGTGTGTGTTAATTTCTATTTCGATTCGGTCATATGCTAATATGCCCTTGTATCGTTGTGTTTTTTGTAGAAATTGCTGTTCACCATACATGCTTATAAACACACGTGAATAGCCTAGCAGCACATCCTCCATACTCATACGCTGTATTGGGTCTACTATTTTGCATTTCGCGTGGATATCTGCGAGACGTCGCATCAGGTTGGAGTTTCTCGGCAACATGCGATCACACACCGCCGGTATCTTCCAGACATCCAACTTTACCTGTCTCGCAGCAAGCGCCTTCACGCAGCTACTGTTAGTGGATGACTTACAACTCAGTGAGGCGACAACGTCGTGTTCGGGTGCAATAAGATGAGCGTCATGAGTATTGTTCAGCAATGTTGGTTCGACTCCGATCTCACTTAAGATGTCCATGTCACTGAGAAGCAGGCGCATGTCGTCAGAGAGGAGGTATTGAGAAAGAGTCTTCACCAACGTGTTCTGATCAGGATTACATCGCCCCTTCTCATGCAGCATAAGATTGATCGCTGCGTAGTCCATACACAGCAGCAGCTGCCGCTCGTCTGCTTGCTCCTGACTTAAGGACTGAATGTGTTGTTCTGCATTTCGGGCGTCACCTAGCTCATAGTATTCCACAGCAAACTCCTGCGTTATCTCACAGACGCCAATCAGCTGCACTACAAGCGGGTTTGGTTGCAGCCACTGGTAGTTTGCCAGTGCTTGTTTAAATGTTACCTTGTTTTCGTCTACAGGAAGTTGCATCAGCACTATCTTATGCTCCTTAAAAGTAGTGAGATATATTTTCTGTAAGGTAAAATGAAACAAAGGTTTAGTGTGGTATATACATATATAGTACACGTCTCCAAAAGGGCAGCGTTTGGCAATTTCGCCTTGCATCTTCAAAATGTCTTTTGTTAATATTAATACAGGCAATAAATGCATAAATAATCAGGTAATAATCAATCACTTTCTTCACCAAAGAAATTCGCCATCACATACGCACCAACGAATATATATGTGTGTGTGTGTGTGTGTGTGTGTGTGTGTGTGTGGGGGAAAGGTCAGATATCAGACAATTTTCTGAGGACATTGTCTAACTGACCGAGTGCAAAACTTTTTTGTTTCAGCGCTGACCTACCATTTTTATCAACTTTATTGAAAGGACCATGAATGTAACTTTACGCTGACGCTGCGAAGATGTAAGTGTCTGATAACCTTTTGACTCAAGGAGGAAGGTTTAGACATGGATTTGTTACTGTTAACAAAGGATCTGAACTGCTTTTTGCTGATTAGAGCCCCCTCGCACCTGCCCCCAGCCCACCACCTCCCCCGCCACCATCCATAACGCTGCGCCTCGTACACATATTTCATGGGATAAACATCAAGAAGCTAATAATACATAGAGTGGTAATACGGAAAAAACGGGAAAAATAGCGGCTATCTCTCACGACCAACATCTAATCTCTACTTTGCCTGCGAGTCTATAATTAATTTCATGGTATTGCATTAACCAGAATTCTTTTGCTCTCTAAAACAAGCACCAAGCGCGTTGTCAATACGATACTCCAGGCGGGCAGATATCGGCTCCTAAACCCCCTCCCACGATGCCAAACTGTCAGCGCCTCTCGAATCACTTCTTGTCCCATCCTTCCACCGCGTCTAAGCGCATTTCGGCTATCGGTTTCCGTCACCGCTTGGAGCGCTGATGTAATTGATTCGGTCACCATCGCCAAATTTATTGGCACTCTTACTAGCTGGCGTTGTAGAGATCTTAATTAAAAAAAACATTGCCGGCTGCCATCATGACGGCGATGTATGCCGTGCTTAGGAAAAGATAATGGGAGATTAAGGCGCATAGGCCGATGCCCCCGAAAGTCCACCTCCACCCTGCACCTGCACTCCGAAAATCAATTCATCAAAATATGGTCGGAAGAAACTGCGAACTCTCCACGAACGCAACGCTTAGCCGCGTGGAAGGATTGGGGACCAGAAGCTGTACTTCGAGGCGTGCGTTTGCAATGTGGAGAGGGGAGGTTTAGAGCCGGATATCTCCGCCTAGGAGTATACGTTTCACAAGCGGTGTGGTCTTGTTTTGAGAGCAAGAATTTCTGCTAATGCAATACCATTGAATTAATTATAGACTCGCAGGGCCAAAGTAGAATAATGGTTGTGCGTGAAATAGCACTATTTTTTCCCGCTTTTTCCGTTTACACTCTATGTATTATTAGCTCTTGATAACATTGTTAATATAGTGAAGTCTAATTAAAGTCTGCACAGCTGTATCTTTTGTGCAATTGATTCGCTATTTAGGAATGTCGTGCGTTTCTGTAGTGGGTGGTTACAGTTTTACTCTCACGAGAATGCCGCGCTACGTGGGCGCGGGTTGTCCCGCGCAATGAAAACAAATTTGTGTGTCTACCATCCCTAGCCGACCAGGCGCTGCTGCCGACGAGATGTATCATAGTGCGCGTATCTCTAACCCTAGCAATACCGTTTTCTTGGAGTAGTACCCTCCGCGAGAGGAGGTCCCGGCATAGGTAAAAACAGTAGGCAGAACGGCGCGAAACAGAGGAGACCGCGGTGAGGTCCAGGGTGCGCGACAACATCCCGGCACTGAACTAATACCACGGCCCAATGGTAGTGCTCCAAGTACGCTAAACGTCAATAAAGATCCTCGAGTAACGCTGCCGCCGTTGGCTGAAGAGCACCGAATACGCGACAATTCGTTAACACTCTTATTGACCCTGTACTGCCCTGCTAGAGGCAGAAGTCCTCATCATAGATTTTTAGATCTGTATTTGTAGTATCCTAGATAAGATGCTCTGAGCGCGAACGCGTGACGGGACGGGCGGCACTTTATTCGGATGCCAGTGAGTTTATTCAG